ATGGCTGACTTGTAGTTCCCAGACAAGCAGATGTCAGGAGAAAACGAGGCAAAACCCAGTTTGTTACTCTTTGCCTAATAACTTGAATTATATTCTTCAGCCGTTTACACAGGTGTTTGAGGCTCATACCTTCTGCTGGAACCAGATATATTTCAGAGCACTGAAACCCCAACATCAAACCAGTTTGGTAAATGTGCTGTGACTTAGCAACTAAAATAAGTATACATTTATGTTTTTGTTATTCTGACTTACTCTGCTTCCCCTATCACCTTATCAGAGAGAGAGAGCAATACGGACTCTTAGGCCATGGCTGAGAACTACCCTCTGATGTGTCATGACAAAGGCCAGTATATGCCACACACTTGCATTTACTGACATGCAGTTTACCCTGTAACCCAACTGCATGCCTAAGTGTTTGCAAGTGTAGAGCCACAGCTTTTCCTATTAGTAAATTAAGAAATGAAATGGTCTTGAAAAATCTACCATTTATAAAAATACCAAAGGTATTTTATAAATGATTTGTATAATTACCAGCTGCCTCATCAAGAAAGCAGGTAATTCCAATTATCTGGGAGTAATGAGAAGGTGTGAAAACAAAGATTTTACTATAAAAATACTTTAAGTTATGTCCAGATCTTTCAATCTTCATACTGACACCCATAATACATAGATTAACCATAAACATAATCAAGAGCATAGCGGTAATTAGCACACAAAAGCATTAAGAACCAAATGACTATTAAAGAATTTCCAACTTACTCAGAATACCTTTTTTTAAGTCCATTTATTGTGGTAGGAAGTGGACTAAAAAGAGGGAAAAGTAGAAAAGGCTGGGGTTTGTGCCAAATACTTACGCTGACTTTGGGCTGAGAAGGCAGAGTCCCACTTGCCTTCATGGTGCTCACTAGCTTATTGAACGCAGTCATGTCTCCATCTTTTTTGAGCTGGCGATTGCTGGTTACAGCACTCAGGGTCTCCTCTAAGTGTTCTGCCATGAACGGAGTCGAATTCTTCACTTGCTGGTCCACCTTCAGGCCCTTGAGTCCTGCTTCCACCTCTTCCACTGAAAGCACAACCCCTGAATGTGCTGTAAGGTTGAGAAAGTCCCAGTTAAGCCAAGCAAGGGAACATGTGGTAGGAATTCTTTGGCTACCATGAAGGTTAAGGTGAAAACAATTGATTTCACAGTTGTAGTGAGGCTGTCAGAAAAGGCTGATACCAAAAACAAACTGAAGACATTTAAAGTCATAGCTGCTCAGTGAGAGGAAGACCGTGACTGTGTACCTTAGTAAGAGATGGCATAAACTAAACCTAGAATGTTTCAGTGCTACAAACTGGTACTGTGCATTAGGCTTGACAAGATCCTGCTGCACATCCTGCAGGAGGGCCTCTTTTGGAGACTCGTTACCAGGGACAGGAATCCCAGATGGCCCACCACCAGCAAAAGAGCTACCTGTACTTATGACAGTTATCATGTCATAAGGTTTTGTTTTGAGGGCTTCTACGCTTCTACCTTAAGTAAGAACATGGCGGACTGGGGCAAAGATATGAGGAGCTGTCAGGCCAGGCTTGGCAGGACAACAGCCTTCACAGCAGTGTCACAATCAGGCTCCAGGTAAAGAGGAGGACTTGGAGAAGGAAAGACTCTTATCATGGTGCCCACTACCCAACTACCAGATTCTCGAAGATGTGATATTGTTTGATAAAGTTTTTTAAAGAACATTAAACAAAACTTATCATCTATTTGAAAGAGGAGTAGGTCAGAACCAACTGCCTCAAGACAGAGCACCCAAGCCTTCTCAAGTACTTAAAGCAGACTCAAATATACACTTACAGCTCTCTTTAAGTTTTTCCTTATTTGCAGAAAGGCTGGAAAGAAGAGGTTTTAAATCCACTTTGGCTTTCTGTAGCATTTCTAAAATATCCACTTTATTTTCAGCATGGTCTTCCAATGGTATAGGAGCAAAATAATTCCCCGAGTTCTGTCCAGGAGAAAGGATGGCTTGCTCCAGACCTAATATTCCAAGCAAATACAATTAATTGGTCCCAATAAGGCACAGAAATATATCTTCGACAGTATTAAAAGTGGACAGATTGAAGGCTTTTTTCAGTATCCAGAGGCCCTTTAACCTTAACGGACTCTTGACTAAATGAAGACAGAATGAACTGTGTCAGAGAAAGCTCACATCTCCACCCAAGACCAGAATCTGAAGCCATTTTACCTGCAAGTCTTTCCAGTTCTTCATGTGGTGTTGACCCAAGACTGCTGGATCGGCTTCCTGACTGGCTTGGGTTAGAGAACCACCTACTGAACCGACTGGCAGAGACTGACCCTTCTCCCAAAACATCTTCTATCATCTGAAGGGAAAGACAAAGGGAGCTAAGGTAATAGTTCCTAGGTGAAAAGGACAAGAAGGTTCAAATTTTAAGAAAGGGTCACTTACTTTGAAACTTCTTCTGATGCTGCGGAACTGAAGGTAAACACCCTCAGAACTTAGGATTTTGAACATCTTTAATTTTTCTTCCCCATCCAGGGTTATTTCAGGGTTACTACACAAACGTGGGCATAACAAACTGTATACTTTCTAAGAATACACAATGAAACCTCTGTGCCACAGAAAACCTTTTGGTTTTCTATCCTTTGCCTCATTAGAAAAATCCACGGACTACTCAATGTTCTTAAAGGATATAGTTTCAAAATCAAAATCTGCACCACAGTAAAGCATTCTATGGCCAAGCTGATGAATGGCCTTCAACTAACATCAGGTATGGAGAGCTGATGAAGGAAAATCCTTGCTTCAGTATTCTCAAGGTTGTAATTAACATCATAATTCCAAGTCAAAGTTTAGAAAGTGTCAGAATGTGCAAGATGAACTTTTAACTGAGCTCTAATAAGTATTTGAACTTAATGGGGAATTTTCAGATATTTTAAATTGGACCTCCATGGTTTTTGGTTTAATAAGGGCAACTAAATAATGTACTACAATTAGAAATAATTTCTTCAACACCATTTCATAATTTCTATTATAAATCCTTAAAAACCAGATTTAAGCATTTTTTTTAAAGTTTTTTCAATACTCCCCTATCATAAATCTTGTTAAACATCCAAACTGATCTCTACCCCATGTTCTTACCAATACTTAGAAAAGATGACTAAGCAAATATCAATCCAAAATGAGGCACACCCTTGAAAATAAGGCATAAACTTGCACTTTGATACTAATACCAATGTTAAACAGAAAACAGATTTTTCCTGAAACTGGTATATGGATGATAGTGACTTTATGCAATCTGTAGTCTGGAATCCCCAGTTTCCACAGATCAGCAGCAGAAAGTCAAGTTTATTCTTCACTTTTATCTGGAAGAATTTTCTTATAATAAATAACCAAACTAAATCACAAAATATTTCTCTTGAACACAAGAATAAGGAATTTTAAATTCAAGGCACTAATTTGATTATTACTTGTGGTATTTCTACTTTCGAGGTATTCATTCAGTTTCAATCATATCTCACTTATAGACTCTCATACCTTAAGGGCATACCTTTTAAGGGCACTCTCACACCTTTTAAGAGCACTAAATTTGCAATAATTAAAGAGAAACATAATGAGTGATGTTTCAGTATGAAAGACTGGGAACTGTACACAAAATAAAAATATCTTAGTGCTAAATAAACGTGATTTTAAAAACAAAGCCGTAAAATATTTTAATGTTGAAGAGTTTGAAATTTTATAAATAGCAAAAATGGCTTTGAATTTTAATCCTTTTATTTTCTCTGATAATACTGTGTAGGAAAAAGTCAGAAGATACACAGGAGGAACATGAAAAAGTAAAGGACATGAATATAAAAAGTATCTGGACATTTTCTAAAGGTAGGACGGTGTTGAGAAAGTCATTTCCGTATTTTGATCAGTAACCAATTTTGTCTGTTTTACTATAGCTAAAACATAAAAATTAGAAACAAACTTACACACATTTACTGGAGATGGCAATTAAAAAAAATTAAAGCTTTTAAACCTGAAAAGAATACCAAGAGTTTATCCAGGCATTTTTGCTTCAGAGCAAGCAGGGATGCCCCTGGCAGCCATCCAGCAGGTTGAGAAGAGAAGCTTGTGAACTATTTGATTATGTTTCAGCTGCTCTTTCTAGACGAGATTTTTAACAACATGTTTAAGGTAACCTGTATGACTGTTATCTGGTCCTTTAGATAAGTGTGATATCCTAAGATTGATATTATTCTGGTTATCAAACAGATATTATGAAATATTTTTGCTTTGGCAATTATTGTTATATTGATCAATGCTGTTAATTACTTTCCATTTTAGTTTTTTTGTTCTGTTTTTTGGATTTGTAATGAATGCATTTAAGACTACACATCTTCTTCTGAGCATACTTGATTACATCATCAAGGTGTCTCTATGCCATGTTCCTGTTCATCACTCTAAATGCTTAGGACCCATTTTTATTTCCTTTTTCTTCATTCAACATACTTAAGCACCTGTTACGTGTCAGGTGCTATACAGGGAGAGTTGCATCATATATAAAATTAACTTTAAAATTCTTTATTTGAAAAATGATTTGCATATGTGATCCAAATTTTCAGTTTGTGCAGTACAGATTTGTGACTGTGAACTTCTAAATGTAACGCAATGCCAGTAAATACAGCCTACAAATATAACTGTTTATACCTATTAATACCCAATATTTATGCAGCTAAGTGCCAGTACTATTTTAAGAACTGTCAATTCATGTTTAAATCCTGTATGGCCCTTCTTATTTTTCCCAGTTGGTCATTTTCTGAGCATTTTATTAGAGCCCAGCTGGTTATACAACACATTCAGAGCATCTGTTTTTACTGATCCCAGTTTAGCTTTTAAGTGACTCTAATACAGAATATACACCTTACTGAGCAGTATCTCCATAAAAAATGTAGAGACTTGCTAGCCTAGTACCTACTGCCAGCATTAGCCAGGTTTTGATTGAGGGTAAGGGCCAAAGGATAAGGTGGTGATGAGTTCCTATTCCTCCCTTTTATGTTTAAGAGTCAGTAGAGTTGTAGGGAATTAATAGCAAAGACTCTTAACTGAAATTACATTAATTAGAATTCAGTCTCCACCACTTAACTAGCTGCATGATTTTGGGCAAGTTAATTAAACCTCTCTGTGCCTGTTTTCTCATCTGTAAAACAGAAATAGTAGTAATCTAATTTGCAAGGGTTTTGTGAGGATTAAATTATTTAAATCCTAAACAATCAGCACTGTATGCACATTACCTATTATTAAAAGTTTAATTTTGAATCTTTCCTCTGTGTAGGCACACAGGTAAATTTCACAGGTGCTCACATTTGGAGCCAAGTATAGGCCTCCAAGTTTTGACCTTTTCCTGTGAACACCTTTTTACATTAAGAGTCTATCTGTCTTCTAAGGGAATGCAAAAAAGAAAAAAAAAGTTACTAAACACAGTTGGTATAAAAATTAAAAAGTCACTGTCCCCTCAAAAGCTAAGAATTTGAGAGGACCACTCAGTTTTACATCAAGTACATTTAGCTCACATCTGGATGCAACCCCTCTGTGCGTAGTGAGCCCCAGGACTACTGGCTAGCCGACTGTGTGAGGTACCTGGCTAGAAACTTCTGCTAGAACTTAAGGAGCAAAGCCAAGCAGTTGCCAGTTGATGTGGAGCTGCACTCCACATGCTCCTGAACAGTGTTGTAAACAAGTGTAATCTCGGATCCTGCGGATCCACATCAAGATAAGCTCAATCAAGACTGAGCGTAAATGCTTAGAAACTTTTGTATCAATTTGGCATTATTATGACATGTGTACTTTATACTAAAGTATTGGTCGTAAACAGATTAGAAATTAAACCTGGCCTCTCACCATAAAGAATTTAAGAGGTACTGTCCTAGAACTCACCTGCAGTCCTGTACCTATCTAACTGCTATGCGGTGTCTGATCACCTGTTCTGGGTGGCCATCTTTTCGGGCTCATGGCGGGGACAGCAAGCACCCAAATGACAAAGGAAATAGGCTGATGTTGCCTTCTCTGTCCTGCCCAGTTTTTTCTGCTCGTGCAACAGTCAAGCAAGGAGCAGTTCTAAGTAAGGGATAAAGTCATTTAAGTTAAATTTGTGGGCCACCAATTCTAAAGAGACTGGTGAAACTTACATGCTATATTTGGTGTTGTAAATGGGACATCTGGAATGCTCTTAGTCAAATGATTTTTAAAATTCTATTTCATCACAATTTATGCACTCTTTCAGCAACCAAAGAAAACCTCATTTCTGTGTGTATAGGCCACAGTTGTATCTTTATTCCAAAAATTTGATGAGGCCATACTATATACTAATCTCTAAATGGCTGAAGGGGACAGGAGAAAGGGCAGGTAGCGAGTGAAGATTTGGGATGTCTTACTGTTTCTACTTTGAGAATGACTAGACCTCAAGAGTTTAACAGCAATGCTGACAGTATCTCAAGCTCCTTTTTACTAAAGGTTTTTGGAACTATCATACCACAAAGGTACCACGTGACCAGTCAGCCTTACCAAAGGAATACAAATCAGCATGATACCAATCACCAGTTATAAAAATCCACCTCGACAGTACATCTTTACAATAAATGCTTAACTACTTAAAAATAAAAGCAGACAATGTTCTTAAACATCTGAAGAATTCTTAGTTCAATGCTACTTGTCTGGAAGAATAGTGAACTGGAACAGAATTCTCAGTCATTTCCACTAAGCCTCTCAAAACAAAGCCAGAAAAATTCAAATAATATTTAAGAATAAAAACCAAAAAACCCCAAAGCATCTAGTAACACAGTACTTTAAAAAGAGGTCTCTTAAAGGCTGAGGTCAAATGTAACCATACAGTTGCTCCATCCACACTCACCGAAGCCAAGCATGGCACCTTATCAAGGTTAAAGAACTCATTAAAGTCAAATTCTCCTAGGGACTGCTCAGGCAAGACGGGGTCCCTTGGCACTTCCTGATCTGCAGCAGGCTCTTGTGTGAGGGCGACCTCCCCCTCATCCTCTTCGGCCACTCCTCCATTGCACTCGACTCTGCCTGAAAGCAAACCAGAACAAAACAGTCCGATCAAGCAAACCGCTCCAGACTTACTCTTTGGCCTCAGTCATCATCACACACGGACAACTTCTTGTGCCAGTACAGCACTTGCGACAGTAAAACTAAAACTGTTCCCTTCCTTCCCAGGGAGCCAGAGGGGGAAACAAGCCGGAACACCAGCACGACAGGGAAGGACTAGGGTCCCTCCCCCTCCCGCTCCTCAAGTTTTCTATAGTGTAGTGGATTCTTCTTCAAATAGCAATCTTTTTTTTAAAGGATAATCTCTGCAAGTCTCTTACTGCATAAGAATGGAATCAAGTTAGTTTGGACCTGCCTTCTCCCATGCTTCTGCCCCACCACTTTAAGTTAGGGCTCAGAAACCCAAGGTACTCACATGAAACATAAGCACGTGGGCAATTTTCATTCGCCTACAGGATGGCTGCAGCACATCCTTCAAGGCAAAGAATGTCACCTCTTCTGGAAAGCTTGCTCTGCCTGCCCATTTTTACCCTATCCAGCAAAATTCATTACTATCTTCTCTATAATCCTTGTGTTATCTCTCAGAGTATTTATCACACCATATTATAATTACTGTCTGGTGAGATGGAGCTCTCTGAGGTCAGGTAACCTGCTCTAATCAGCCTTGTCTTACTCTACAGTGCCTGGTACATTTAAAACTCAGTAATGTTCAGTTGTTGTTAGGATTGGAAGCAAAGCTACCAAATGCTAACATTTAAGGAAGGTTGGTTTTAACCAGAGTATGGGCAAAAAGCAAATCCTTAGGATTAAAAAAAAACCCTTGTATTTTCCTCTTAAATAAGTTTACTGAGAGATACTAGGTATTCAACTTTTTAATTTGAAGAACAGAACTCCCAATGCCCCACCCTGCAAAAGCACCTATGTAAGAGCTGCCTACAGTTTCAAGATCTACAGCAGACATGAAGTCCTCTTAGAAAAAAAGGAGGACCAAAGCCTGGACACATCCCTTCTCAAAAGCCCCTAACAGTTACTGAAGTGTTGTTTCTCATCAGCCAGGATATTCGAGACTGAGAGAAGCTAAATGCTATTACCTGCTTTCATTCCAGTAACACATCAAAAAGCTAGATAGTAAAGCAAAGGACTGCAACAACTGAAAGGTTAAGTGGCTTGCCTCCCCAAGGTCAGATACCAGCAAGTGGAGCTCTGTCAGCCACCAATGCTCTTCCACACCATGCTGTGCCTTTAAAGTAGTACTGCTCCTCCAAGGGGCGCCCGCCATGCAAGAGCCCTGTGCCTTCTGAGGGCCTACGGCAACCAGTGAGACAGATGTTTGTGTGCCATGGACCACAAGCCAACAGGCAGTCTATGCAGTGGATCAGCACACACTGTCACCCACCAGAGGCAAATGCTATTCCTTAAAAACTAACACTTAAATTAAAACGATTGCTTTAGTGCAGGTATTATCCTCACTTTACAAAGAAACTGAGCTGTAGAAGTAAACAACTAACAGCCTAACTAATGCCAAGTCTGTGTCCTTTTCCACCAGAGCAGTGCTGCTCCCTGACCCATTTTACCCACCAGAACCAGCCTGTCCACTACAGGACTCATAAGCAGCATACATTTTGCTTCAGTTCTGTGTTCCAACTTAGGGATGAAAGCCAGAAGAAAGAGTCCGTCCTTTGCTTATACATCTATAAAAGAAACTTTAATATTTCTCCTGTTCACCTTAGTGTTGAGATGGGGACAGAATTTTGCAGGGCCTGACAACTGACAGTGGGTACGAGTAGGAATATGTACCAGCAGACACACACATACACTTGGCCGTTTGTTATGACAGACACAAAAGCCAGGAACCAGGGAAGATAACTAAGGGCAAGTTTTATCACATTTCAGAATAAGCATATACTCTCATTAGAGAGAGTGCAAATTAAATTTTTCCATTTCTCCCCTTCTGAAGACATAGTCTTTTTTCCTTATGGTTATTAAGTACAATACATATTCAAATTGTTTCATTCAATACCACACATACATCACCAAACTCTGGGCCTTATAACAGAGTGGTGCTCAGTACATATCTGTTTTAAATTATGTAGGCAAGGAACACGATTGTCTTGTTCACTGCTATATTCCCACAGTGAAAATATTATATGCCCAATAAGTTCAGTGGAAAGCTGGAATACACACACAAAAATGGACTAAAGGGCACTCATTATGTCTCCCCTTTTCATTCTTGTAGCCAACATGAAACTACAGGGTACCTGTTTTACGTAAATACAGTAGCTAGGACAGCCTAGGGACCTTTTGAAATTAACTGATGAGGTGAGTGAGCCATGAACCCCTGGCTGCACTCGAGGCTCTGCCATGAAACCTGTGTGACAGGGTCTCCCACGGTCTCCCTTTTTCCCAGGCCTCTCTTTGCAAGGTGACGAGCTGACACTACCGATCAACCTCCCTTCTTTTGGCTCCTCCACTTGCAGATACAAGAATGGCTGAAATTCAGATTTCATCTTAGTTAAAAAAAATGTGCTTTTCCCACCAGAAGCCTGATCTTTACCATGAGGAGAAAAGATCTCACCTGCTGGTTCTGTTTTTAGTCTAACAGAGACTGAGACAAAAGCATATCTCAAAGGGAGTTTAACAGTAAAGTCTCCCAAATTACCCATTAATTTCCTGCATCATCACCCTGAGGAAGAAGGTGTAGCAGCATAAAGATAATGGTAATGTCTACCATATTTTAAAGATTGTACAAAAAAAGACAAGTATAGGCATTTCTCCCTTTTCTTTCTCCCAAATAAATTCCATTAGCTTATTTCTACTTAAATGTCTTATCTTCATAATTTTAAGGTAGCATTGATTAAACACTCATGTATCAAAACAGCTTTCCCCCTTGGTTACTTGGTAGATATCTGCCAAAAGGTTTTTTCCACTTAAACCTGAAGGCTGGAAGGAACCAGAATTTACTGAATAAGTGCCCTCAAGAGGCTGAGCTCTGATGTGTATATCTGATCTTCCATGCTAAAAGTAGCTCTTAAAGTTATGAAGTAGTTATTATCTTTACCTTATGAAGAAACAGGCACACCTGTTCAGAGTTTTATCAAAGATTATCCTTCCTCTAAGCAGCAGCCCCATACTCAAACCCCAGGCTGGTCGCCTGGCTCTTCATTGCTCCTTCCCAAAACCATCAGCCCAGGGTTGGCCTCTCCGAGCCAGGTCACGAAAACGATTAATGAGCTCCCACTCTGCACCAGGCACCCCTCCCATGTCAGCTCTGGCTTCTTCAGTTTCGCAAGGGAGATACATGACCTTATCTCATAGTTGAGAAAACTGAGTTTGGGAGAAGCCAATTCACAAGTAATTGACCTAAGAAGGTCTGACATCATGAAGAAGGTGGGCTCTGAAGCACAAAATATCTAGTTCAACTCCCAACTTCACTACCTACTTCATTAGTGACCAGAAACAAGTCATTTAAGGCCCCTGTGCCTCCATTTTCTCATCTATAAAATGGACATAAAAGTACCTGTTTCACAAGGCTGTTGGGAGAAGCAGGATTATATAGACAAAGGCTCACCACTGTGTCTAGTACGTAGTGCTCAATAAACCAGACCCCTCATTATTTCCACCACAGGTTTCCTATCTTTGGGGGAACTGCTTTCATGTACACAAGTGCTCTTAGACGTTAATGTGAGACTTTCTGTTTAGCCCTGCAGGCAGGATAAGTTGGAGAGACAGTACAATCTATATACCTAGTGAATTCACACTTACGAAGCGATTTCAAAACCAGGCTGCAACATTAAAAAGGTGCCACTTCCTAACAAGTGGTGCCCATTCCTAAGTGTACAATGAAGCCAAGTATAAGCACATCTCATTTTAGAACAATGAGCTTCCCTTCCAAAATCCTTGCTGACCTTCCTTCACAGAGGCTGTCCGTCGCCTTGTTCTTTTTCTTCCCTTGTGATCTTCTTCCAGTATTTTATCATCAAAACCAGTCAGCTCAATAGTTTCAGACTGACTTGTGGGTCCAGCTGAGAACCATTCTGGTTCTTCTTCTGTGTAGGAATCATTTCTTCTACGCTCACCAAAGACACGCTTACTATCCCCAAACTCCCTCTGGAAAAGTACACAATACAAGATAAAAAATAAGATTCTAGTTAAGGCTTTTCTGTCTTGACCAAGGTCTTAAATTAAGTAATGCTCAATATAGCTATGAAGATACTATGCCATGGACTTGAAGCCCCTCCCCACCCCCAGGGCACTCTGTTCCTATTTGGCCTAAAAATGGGCTGTATTCATCCAGGACCTCAAAACAGCCTGGTAAAAATGAAGTGAATATTGAGTCCCTAAGCACAGGAGACACAAAAGGATCTAGAGACAAACCCGGAAACGCTTGTCCTTATAGTCCCTTTCTCGGTCTCTGTCTCTCAAGTCCCTGAGGTCCTTATCGCTAAGACGGTGATCCTTCTCAAAGGTCCGAGCAGAGATTATTCTCCCACTGCCAATCCTTCGCCCGCCAAGCAGGCGAAGCCCATCACTGTCTTTCTCCAGGGGGCTTCCTGAATGTCGGGAGCTGGCAGCAGCCGTCACATGGCAGCCGCCTCCAAAGCTTCGCCTCTGTGGGCTGAGAACAACATCTAAGTCATCTTCTTTCACTCGCTCTCGTGGATCTGGAAAGGCGACGGCAAGAGAAAGTTAAGCACACCAGCAAGGGCATTTTCCTCTCTGCGTGGTATGTCCATGACCAATGGTGGTCGGAGCACTGAAAAAGAATCAACACTAAGATAGCTACAGAGTAACAAGTACATTACAGATTAAATAAAACTGAGACTTTTGCTTTTTCTCTTTGGCGCAATAATTTTCCATGATTAGTCTCTAGGATCCCTTTATTTTGACTAAGTCCTTATTTATGTAATTAATAGCAAATGTTTTGCCAATAAACTATAGTAGGTGTCAGTAGTTGAAAAAATAACTACTTAAAAAGTGTCTCTTCAACAAACAGTACTGAATAGATGGATATCCATATGCAAAAAAGTGAACTTGAATCCATACCTGGTATCTACAGAAAAATTCAAAATGGATCATAGATATAAATGTAAAACTTTAAACTATAAAACTTCTAGAAGAGAATATGGGGGAAATCTTTGTGACATTGGGTCAAGCAAAGTTTCTTTGGCATGACACCAAGAGCACAACCCATTTAAGAAAATGATAAACTAGACTTGGTAAAAATTTTTAAATTTTTGCTCTTTGAAAGACACTGTTCAGAGAATGCAAAATCAAGCCCTAGACTGGGAGAAAATATTTCAAAGTATGTATCTGATAAAGGACTTATATACAGTACATATAAAAACTCTAAAAAACAAAACAAAAAATCCAATTAAAAAAATGGACAAATGGTTTGAACAGACACTTTGCCAGGGGATACGTGGATGGCAAATAAGCACATGAACACATACTAAACACCTGTCTCTGCACTATTTACAACAGCCAAGACATGGCAGCAGCCTAAGTGTCCATCAACAGATGATGAATGGATAAAGATGTAGTACTTACACACAATGGAGTACTATTCAGCTATAAAAAGAAAACAAATTCTACCATTTGCAACAAGAATATGGATGGAGCTAGAGGGTATTATGCTCAGTGAAATAAGCCAGGAGGAGAAAGACAAATACCAAATGACTTCACTCATTTGTGGAGTATAAAAACAAAACAAAACTGGGGAAACAAAATATCAGCAGACCCACAGACTCCAAGAAGGGGCTAGCGATTACCAAAGGGAAGGGGCTGGGGAGGGTGGGTGCGGAGGGAGGGAGGGAGAAGGGGATTAAGGGGCACTATAATTAGCACACACAAGATAGGTAGGTCACAGGAAGGGCAGTATAGCACCAAGTAGACAAGTAATGACTCTATAGCATCTTACTATGCTAATGGGGGTGTGAGGACTCGATAATACGGTGAATGTTGAAACCACAATGCTGTTCATGTGAACCCTTCGTAAGATTGTTTACCAATGACACTTTAAAATGTATATATATTTACTAAACATCACTAGTCACTAGGGAAATGCAATTAAGCCATAATGTGATACCACCACAAACCTATGAGGGCTAAAATCAATAAAGTCTGACCATTCCAAGTGCTGATGAGCATGTGGATCAAGTGGATCAAGTGGAACCTTCATACAGTGCTGGTGGAAATGTAAAATTGTATAACTGCTTTGGAAAACAGCTTGACAGGTTCTCAAAATGTTAATCACACACCTACTATAGGACCCAGCCATTCTACTCTCAGATATTCACCCAAGAGAAATGAAAGCATATGCATCAGTGTTCACAGCAGTTTTAGTTAATAAACCGGAAACTCAAATGTCCATCAACAAGTAAATGGATAAACAGAGGCAAATGCAAATTTGTACAAAGGAAACTACTAAGCAATAAAAAAGAATTATTTATATACCCAACATGAGCAAATCTTAAAACAACTATTCAGAAACTATTCAGAGTGCATACTGTATAATTCCATTTATGTTAAATTCTAGGAAATGTAAACTGATTAGTAGTGACAGAAAGCAGATTAGTTCTAGCCTCGGGGGAACTGTGAGCAAGGACTCATGGGTATTAGGGAACTTTTGGGTGTGAAAGAAATGTTTATTACTACTTTGAAATTGCTAATGGTTTCACAGGTGTAAACACGTCAAAACATCAAATGGCACATTTTTTTTTTATTTTGGTATCATTAATCTACAATTACATGAGGAACATTATGTTTACTAGACTCCCCCCATCACCAAGTTGCCCCCACATACCCCATTGCAGTCACTGTCTATCAGCGTAGTAAGATGCTGTAGAATCACTACCTTGTCCTCTCCGTGCTGAACAGCCTTACCCATGCCCCACCCACACATTATACATGCTAATCGTAATGAAATGGCACATCTTAAGTGCAGTCTGCTATACGTCAGTTTTATTTCAATAAAGGTGTAAGAAAAATAAACATATTACCACACAAAAATTCTTCCTAGAAAAACCAGAAAACCAAAGAAAAATCCAAGGGAGAAAGACAACCTTTAATCCCCTTACCAGAAACAATTCCTAAAATGTTTTGGTATGAACTTTTCCAGAAATTCTGTGTTTTCTTCCCAAAAACAAGATACAATATGAACAGGTCTCCAACATGTTTTTATAGCTAAACAATGTAATACTCCTACATATGATGTACCAAAATTTGCTCAAACTGTTTCTACTATTGGATATTTACGTTGCACTTAAATTTTCTTCCCTTTAATAAAGTCTCTGTGCACATCTTTAATGATTCTGTAGAATAAATTCTTTGTTCGAGGGACATTACTGCACTGTTTACTGAGAGACTGTGCAGAAGGCCTTATAGCTCAAACTAGAGTCATTTCTATCGTCTTTGCTCATTTCCAAAGTTGTGATATGATAATCTCATCTCTCATCTCATCTCAAAAGGAATTCCTCTTACAACAAGTTCCTTGACTTGCCAAGTCTCCATTTCACTCTTCAATATCTTTTCTGGCTTAAAGGAGTAAAAGTATGGAAGATCAAACTTAACTCCAGTCTCCAGTCATATCCAAACCCTGTGTTCAGAGCATGATCTATTATGAATTAAAAATTGCCAGAACTGATTTATGCCTGAGGACTAGTCTCATATGCAAGACTAGGCATAAGCAGATTTCCAGCACAGCTTTATCCTTCCTACAACATCTAACTCAGTTATCCATGCCAATGAAAGATATCAGTGCTTTTAATTCAAAAGCATATGGCCTAAGATAGTCTATTTTCCACTGCTATACAGTAAAGATATGATTTTACTCTTCCAGCCAGGAAAAATCCGATTGGTACATCAGTTTCCTGATTATAAAAATTTCCCCATGCTTAAAATTCTCACAGCTAAGAATGAAGCCAGCAGCAAAGGACACTCTAAAACTGCTTCTGCCACTTGTAGGCGACTGAGTGTGCTCACCTACTATTCTGCGTGCCAGGGAAGGCCGGTCTGTATCCAACTCTTTCTTCAGACTTTCCACAGGTGAGCTCCGCCCTGAAGCTGGGTAGAGAGAGGCGTGCCACTTCTCAGGGTCCCAGACGCCGTCACTACAAGTCAAAGGATACCAGGAGTCAGCACTTGCACCTGTGAGCTCCATATGCAGTCTAATTTCTAAAATTCTCAGGCAGTAAGTGATGGAAACTCCTTTCCAATATAAAACTTTGTGGTTGCCATCAGAATGGTTATCCCTTTTAAGATGAAAACAAAAACTACTATAAATGGTCCCAGACTTAAATGGTTTAACTTATGATTTTTTTCACCATGGTGCAAAAAAATATACACATTCAGTAGAAACCGTATTTAGAATTTGAATTTTGACCTCTTCCTGGGCTAGCAATGTAAGGTATGATAAACTCCCGTGATGCTGGGTAGTGGCAGCCAGTCACAGGATCACAATTGTTCTGTTTTTTTACCTTTAGTACATCATATAACATACCCAACACTTTATTATAAAATAGACTTTGTGTTAGATGATTTTTCCAAACTGCAGGCTAATGTAAGTGTTCTGAACAAGTTTAAAGTAGGCTAGGCTAAGTTATGATGTTTGGCAGGTTAGATATACTAAAGGCATTTTTGACTTATAATATTTGCAACTTATGATGGGTTTATTGGGACCTAAGTTGAGGAAGACCTCGATTAATTCTGGAATACTTTGTTATTGTTCACATAGCACCAAGAGTCACTTGAAAACAGTGGTCTATGCATAAAATGAAACATTCAGACCACAAACCTCGGGGTACATAGGGACATATGCCTGTCCTGCACGATGGAGATGCTCCATAAATACTGATTACTTGGTTTGCTAAAGATTATAACAAGGGAAGAAGAAAAAAGCCCCTCGATCCTCTCTAGAAAGCTCCTGGAATGCCTGGTGTGTATTTTCCTAGAATTTCTACACATAACTTCAGTTTTTCCCACAAGCAGGACAGTCAGCTCTTAAAAGCCTAAAATGTATGGCTTGGGTTTTACTGTGTTATTCCTAATGATGGGGTGGCAGGTGGCACAGTGTGCAGAGCAGAAGCTTTAGAGGCCTAAGATCTGGGTCTGGATTCCAGCTCTGCCATCATCACTGGAGACATCCTGGACAAGTTATGAGTTATGTCCTTCAGTAGCTTACAGAAAGGAATGCCCCAGCCCCCAGATCAGACCAGGCCATACTACACAATAGCACTGAACTCTGTACTTGTCCTTCCCAGCCTGTAATGGTGGTAATAATAAACTCTTCTGAGTATATCTGACCGTATCCTTTCATAGACCAATGTTCCATGAAGGCAGTATCTGAGCACCTGATGCAGTATTTGCCACACAGCAGGTACAATTGGTAAGTGGATCAACCTGTCAAACTCCTCATATAAAGCAGATATTAAGTATTTTATAGTGTGGTTGTGAGCGTTCCTTGCAGTTTAAGAACCCAACAAATTTTAATTCTATAATGAGAGGCTCTGTCCTCTCTCTTGTATTTTCATTACTACTAGACACAATGTCTCTAATTAAGAATAAAAGCAATTATATGGGCCCATGATTATTTTATGCCAATAAGAAATAGTTATTAACAAGAAAATTCAACTTGAGGCATAAGAAAACTTTCCAATTTTAATGGAAAAAACAAACAACAAAACCCCCCTAAAACTCAACAGTTACTTAACAACAAAAAAAATCCTAACCAATTAGAATAGACATTTTTCAAGTATCAGTGGCAAGGACTTTATAAGGCACAGTGGCAAGGACTCCAGATTTAGCAACCTTCTGAACAGTTCATACACAAAATAAAAAGAGTATGCCCTATTTAAGCAAGAAGTCAAAAATAACAGATGTTTCATACGTTAATAATGTGGACCAATATGAACCATCTCCCTGTATATTTATATTTAAGAAGTTACCTTAAAGTCTTAAGAATTGCAGTGTAGAGTTGCTGTAAAAGATTTTCAGACCATTTTTAGCTACAGTCTTCTAGAACCAAAGCCGTCTACGACTTATGAAGGAGCCCAGGATGCAAAAGGGCTAATCCTAATGGCTGAACAATTCTGTTGTTTGGGGGTGGGGTAGGGCACAGAAAAAGGCTCAGTCCTCCAGATCAGCCTACCTGGGGCAGGCCCTTGAAGACGCACAGGGCAAAAAACTACTGGTAGAGGGAAAAAGACACTGGTGAGGACTCCTATGTTCATGTCTTAATTCTGCTCCCTGAGTATGTGCCTTTGATTGAGTTATTTTCTAGTTTTGGTTTCATCACCAGTTCATGAAAGGGAAATAAATGGTTTATCTGTCTTTACAATCACTTGCAGCTCAAATCTTTGAATTTAATGGTCTACAGTTAACTAACAATGAAATGGATGAAGACAATGTAGTGAGATGCTGTTTAGTTTATAGCTTATCTATAAATTTGTACATAAGCCCAATGTCATAACCCCGAAATCTCCCACTCAAAATTCTACCAAAAAACTCCAAAACAATACAGTTCTTAAATTACCAACTTTGGTGTAACAAGAAGATGACTAAAAGAAGCAGGCCCCTCTCTCTGCCCCCATACCTGTCATATTTTTCAGAGAGACATGAAGGCCTCTGCTTGGAATGAGGGCGTTCTTTTATATCCAAGAGCTCCTCCTAGAAAGAGAAACCAAATGGTGATTTTGAGTATCTAAGTTCTTAGGCCACACACTTTCAACTTACTTTTATTCTCAGGAATTGAGGTTCTATCTTATGCATTTCACACAGTTTTCATTTATTTATACCTTGATTTATTCCAGAAAGAACTGTAGTCAGCTCAACGTTCTTACAAGAAACTCAGGCAGAATTAGCAAGTAACGTAACAGAAATTAGTTTCTTGCTAAAACATAAATTATTTCCTAATAATATAGTTATATTCTATAACACTGAATGCTCATCAAAGCACGGAAACTTCAGACTTACATAAAACCTCCAGCTAATCCTCCTACTCTTAGAAGCATTAGATATCAATTTATAAGGGATAGATTTTTTTTTAAAAACACAGTGAAGTTGCAAGATAACAAAAGCACTCAAAACATCCATATACCATTTATCTGATTCACCTGTTAGCATTTTCCCCCTATTTGCTTTAGCATTCGGGCTCTCTACATAAAAAAAAAAAAAAAACAAAAAAAAAACTATTTAAGGGTAAATTGCATAAGTCATGGTCCTTTATCCCCAAATACTTCAGTGCCTATTTCCTGAGAAGGAAGACATTTTCTCACAGCCTCTTATCTGGGACGTAAGAGAACTAAGCCCCAAAGAAAATTAGACTGACTTCTTCCTATACTCCCAAGAATGATTCTTGGCCTGTCACTGCAGACGGAGAGAAGCCAATCCATTACACACAGTGGACGCCTTGGGGCATAGGGCTTCCTCTGCAGAACCCAGCTGAGAAGGGCAGGCAGATTTTAGACCACTTACCAAGAGTACTTTTATCTAACCTACTATTCCAGATTCCAGTAATGTGTTTCATATTACCTTTTTTTTAGCTTCCAACACTTTGGTCTCTAATCTGGAACATTTCTACAACTTTCATCTTTCAGGACATAGACATTTGTAAACAATACAGGCCTACACTTTTTTTTCTTTAAGAGAACATTATTCATTTTGGGTTTGTCTAATATTTTCTCATGATTAGACTGAGGCTACACATCCCTGGAGTAGAATACTAACCTAAGAGATTTCCTGTCCATTTAGCAGCATCCCCTCTGGATGTCCAGGATGTGGAACTGCCCTTATCATGATGTAAATTTCAACCACACGGTTAACGTGTTCTCTATTTCTTCACTGTTCAGTTACTACTTTCCCAATTGCAATTAACATGCAATCTGTAGGGAGATGCTTTAAAACCATCCAGATATCCTGATCTTCATCAAAATTTTCCCCTAAACTCAGCATCTACTGCTCTTGCTCAAACCTTGATTTTCCAATTCTAGGCCTCTCTCCCTATTTACCAGTCAGCACTTGGCATTTCACTGTAAACACAAATTCTCCCTTCTCTGCTATTTACCTACTTATTATTGGCATAGGCTCACAGATTCCTGGTTTTTCCAATGGTCTGTAATTCATTAATGTCCTTAAATATTTTGGTGTTCAAATTGGAAGCTTCTTCAAGCTGACTTCTGTGTCCTTTTGACATGACCCATCATCTTTTAAAAACCCTTTCTTCAGTTTCTCTTTTATCTCGTACCCATCCTGTCCTAGTCCTAGAGTCAGCTATTTTACTGAGAAATCCTAGTTCCTGTAAGTGGAGAATGCTATAAGAAACTAAAGTCTTGGAACTGGGTATCCTCTTTTGCTTCTAGACCCTTTCAGAACTGAGACATATGTGCATTTATATATGCACAGATCCAGACAAATATATGCATAGATATGCATAGATTCAAACACCAGCTCATACATACACAAAACTATCACATGCTTAAATACATTTAAACATTTTAAAAATTGATGAAAAAAAGCAATTCCCAAACTTTCAGTACCAGTAAAATGCACAACTGCCTTGTAAAAAAGCCTATACACATCACTGTGCCATGGCCTCTGTCACAGGTATCACGGTAGAACGTTTGCTTGCTTCTCTGACCACTGCTTCCCATACCTAAGGGTGGATATGGAGTAACAGATTTACTCTCTAAGCCTACAGAAATCACTGCACATCCGCATGCCATGAATTCACTTAGTACCTTCTGACACTTGAAGCACTAGAATGTTTTCTCCATGTTAGCAAAATGTCCTAGGACCAGATGACATTTTAGTTTTAAAGCCAGAATACCAAACAAGCATTTGCATTTATTTGGATTTATGCATTATGTCTTATTAACTGGGTAGAAATACCTAGAAAAATTTAGAAGTCTCAGATAAACACAATTCCAAATACTAGAAAACATCTAGAGGCTGCTCAAAATTCTCAAAAAACGGTCAAAGCACTGACATACCAACTGCAAACTGCCAGTAAAGACTGGAGTCCGGTGAAATCTGCAGAGCAGACACAGAGTCAAAGGTTCAGGGGTGACATAACATTTGGCGATGGGGGTAGGGTGGGTAAGTGAACAATAGTAGTTACAAGGATAGCACTTATCATACAGACAGCTGATGGACAGGAGTGCTTAAAACATTTTCCACAAGAAACAGGAAGAACCTTGCAATACAAGAAATATTTATACATATGCTATAGGAAAAAACATTGCAGAGCAATTTTCTGCTATTCAAAGCGACCTGAAGATTATTACACATGCTCTTCTTACTCTACCACCTCAAATAGTAAACTAAGAACCCCAGTTTACAAGGGCAATGGATTTCATACTTACCTACATATATTCTCAATTTACAAGTTTCTAAACAGTGAGGCTTTATCTGAACTTTAATGGCAACAGATAATAGGGAACCCAAGCAATGGGTGTTCTCTATTACTACTAGAGCTGTTTGCTGAAACTCTAATGATGTTATCTATTTAGAAGGCAACTGAGAAAGATGAGCATTTTTAACACAGCCACAGAACATCTAGGAGGATGAAATATTCTATTTGTGGGAATCAAAACAAAGGTTAACAAGTAGCTTTACAGAGAGGGAAATGAAGAGACCACAGACAGGGCAGCAGAGAGGACAACTAAATGTAATATGGTACCCTGGAACAGAAAAAGAGCATTAGTTTAGAACTAAGGCAAGGTGAATGAAGTATGGACTTTAGTTAATAACAATGTATCAACATTGTTAATTGTAAAAAAAAACATTGTTAATTGTAAAACATACCATACTAATGTAAGATATTAATAATAGGGAAAACTAGGTGAGGGGTATATAGGAACTTTCTACTATGTTCCCAGTTTTTCTAGGTATCTAAAACTGTTTTAAAAAATAAAGTTTAATCTTATCTCATGCCATATACAAAAATTAATTCAAATGTATCAAAGACCTAAAGATAAAAGCTGTAACTATAAAACTCTTAGAAGAAAACCTAAGTGTAAATCTTCATGACTTTGGACTAAGCAATGTTTCTTAGCTAGGACACCAAAAACAAGCAAATAAAGAAAAGAAATAAATAAACTGGACCTCAAATTTACAAGATTTTGTGCTTCACATGATATTACTGAGAAAGTGAAAAGACATCCCACAGAATAGAAAATATTTACAAAATCATATCTGGTAAGTATCTATATCTGGAATATGGAGAGAACATATGAAAGATGTTTGACATCATTAGTCATTAGGGAAATACAAGTCAAAACCACAGTGAGAGACCACTTCACTTTTACCAGGATGGCTATTAAAAATGATAGGGAGTGGTGGTGGTATAATACAAATACTGGTAAGGATGCGGAAAAACTGGAACCCACTAACATTGCTGATGGGGATGTAAAAATGGTGCAGCTGCTGTGGAAACAGCGGCAGTGGCAGTTCCTCAAAAAGTTAGGCACAGTTACTATATGACCCAGGAATTCCACTCCTAGGTTAATACCAAAGAGACTGAAAATTATGTCCACACAAAAACCTGTAGAGGCATGCTCATTGTAGCATTATTTACAATAGCAGAAAAGTGGAAAAAATCCATGTGCCCATCAACTGATGAATGGATAAAGAAAATGTGGTAAACCCATATGATGGAATATTATTTGGCAATAAAAAGGGACAAGGTACTGATACATGCTACGACATGAACCTTGACAACATGTTCAGTGAAAGAAGCCAGACACAAAAAGCCATGTATTATATGATTCTATTGATATGCAATGTTCAGAATAGATAAATCCAGAGTCAAAAAGTAGATGAATGGTTGTCAAGGGCTGGAGGAGGGGACAATGGGGAGTGACTGCTAATGGGTATACAGTTTCTGTTTGGGGTGATGAAAATATTCTGGAATTAGATAGTGATGGCTGTACAATTTTGTGAATTTACTAAAAGCCACTGAATGGTACACTTTAAAAGGGTGAATTTTATGTGTATAAATTATATCTCAGAAAAACATTTAAAATAAACTAAGAGGTTCAATTACCAGACATTAATGTGTTGTTTCTCTTCTTACAGGTCTTTTAAAGACTGATAAATGTCAACTACCCACAGACATGACAGAGTCATTCTGGTTGGTAAAAATGTTTTAACACTCCCTCTCACGTTATTCCAGTTTTCTTTGTTGACTTTATATGCTCGGCATATACTAGGTGTGAACAAATGCTCAAGCCACCAACTGTATGGACCTGAGAGACCTGTAAGAGTACAAAGTAGGGCAGTGAGCCAGTTACACACTGGCATTAACCATGCCAAGAGCACCATTGCATGAGGGAGCACCCCTGACCAAGTGCAATGGCTACACCACAAAGCACATGTGTCTAAGATAAAGAGCTGTATTCTTCATTAATATGCTGAGAGCTGGGAAAACAAAATAATTCTTGGATTATAAAAGTTGCTGGGAATAACTTTAACATCTAGGTAAAACTATACTTACTGTTCTTGAAAGCAGGGCTTCTTAAACCAGTTTCATGGCCTCAAGGAAACCACATACAAAATCATGCTTTGTGCAATGTCCACCATGAGTGTTCATACTTTCAAAAAAGATCTCCAATGGGTCCCAAGAGGTTAAGAAGTAGTGCTTCAAAATGATCATGTCTTTCAAAATGTGGCCCAAGGTCCATCCAGAAATTTAGGGAAAAATGATAGTGATCCTCCTCATGGGGTTTAGAGAGGTAAATCTGTTACCTTCCAGCAATGTCTTAGGTTGCATAAGATGGTATCCCAGCCTGAGACAATCCCCCACTTAAGTGGGGAGGAAAGAAACCACACGCTAAGTTAATATAAAGTCTGCTCTTTTCATAGCTGTTCACAGAATACTTCCTGTGTGCCATAGGCAGATGACTCTTGTCCCTGGCCCCATGGCTCTCTGGTCTCTCAAGTGTTCTTGAACTTGCCATCTCATCAAGAGTCCTTAACAGAGATTATTCCTAGACAGGAACTCCTTTTTTAAAGGAAACCTTCAACTTTGGCTAACGGCAAAAATACTTGCAAAGTACCCATTTTGACCTGGGAGTGCTCCTGCCCTGTAAGTATTTCAGGAGAATAAGATTGCTCTTTTAGAGTCCCAAGACCTCAGTAACTTACTAAATCATGGACAAATTCACTACAAGTATCATTTGGACAAGAGAAAAGTTAGTATCCAAGACCTTACTTTTTGCACTGGTTACTAAATCTGACCAGGCAAGAACAAGCTCCTAATTGCCCACAAGCCGCATACCCAAAGAAGTAATAAAAACATTTTCTTAGTTTTAACACCCTTCCTTAAAGAAAATATGTCAAACCTTCCAAACCAATCTATTTGGGAATTTCTAATACAGATACCCACTTTTAGTGATTGGAATTCACGTAGAAAGTGAATGTGAACATAAGCCCAGAACAACATGGTTAAAATCCGCATCCAGCTTCTTTCTGCAGAAATCCCATGCAGAAGCAGCTAGCTACACTTTCTGAAGTCATTCTGACATTATAGACTTCATACAACCTATAGATGGTGATGAAAAGGGAAATATTTTTTACCTTTATGAGCTGAGTTCAATTCACAAGAGTAAAAAGCTCAATTTTTAAATAATTAACATAGATATTTTGTAAAAAACCTTGTTTTATTTCATCATTCAATTTTGACCAATGCACTCTATAAGTGACCCAGTACCCTCGACTGTGTGGGTGCCTGGTTCATCCTTAAGGAAGATAAATGTCTCTGGAGCATTGTTTGGGTCTGCCTTTGACCTCTTCTCCCATCCCTACCTTCCACATGCCCTCAAACTTTCAGTACCAGTAAAATGCACAACTGCCTTGTAAAAAAGCCTATACACATCACTGTGCCATGGCCTCTGTCACAGGTATCACGGTAGAACGTTTGCTTGCTTCTCTGACCACTGCTTCCCATACCTAAGGGTGGATATGGAGTAACAGATTTACTCTCTAAGCCTACAGAAATCACTGCACATCCGCATGCCATGAATTCACTTAGTACCTTCTGACACTTGAAGCACTAGAATGTTTTCTCCATGTTAGCAAAATGTCCTAGGACCAGATGACATTTTAGTTTTAAAGCGAGAATACCAAACAAGCATTTGCATTTATTTGGATTTATGCATTATGTCTTATTAACTGGGTAGAAATACCTAGAAAAATTTAGAAGTCTCAGATAAACACAATTCCAAATACTAGAAAACATCTAGAGGCTGCTCAAAATTCTCAAAAAACGGTCAAAGCACTGACATACCAACTGCAAACTGCCAGTAAAGACTGGAGTCCGGTGAAATCTGCAGAGCAGACACAGAGTCAAAGGTTCAGGGGTGACATAACATTTGGCGATGGGGGTAGGGTGGGTAAGTGAACAATAGTAGTTACAAGGATAGCACTTATCATACAGACAGCTGATGGACAGGAGTGCTTAAAACATTTTCCACAAGAAACAGGAAGAACCTTGCAATACAAGAAATATTTATACATATGCTATAGGAAAAAACATTGCAGAGCAATTTTCTGCTATTCAAAGCGACCTGAAGATTATTACACATGCTCTTCTTACTCTACCACCTCAAATAGTAAACTAAGAACCCCAGTTTACAAGGGCAATGGATTTCATACTTACCTACATATATTCTCAATTTACAAGTTTCTAAACAGTGAGGCTTTATCTGAACTTTAATGGCAACAGATAATAGGGAACCCAAGCAATGGGTGTTCTCTATTACTACTAGAGCTGTTTGCTGAAACTCTAATGATGTTATCTATTTAGAAGGCAACTGAGAAAGATGAGCATTTTTAACACAGCCACAGAACATCTAGGAGGATGAAATATTCTATTTGTGGGAATCAAAACAAAGGTTAACAAGTAGCTTTACAGAGAGGGAAATGAAGAGACCACAGACAGGGCAGCAGAGAGGACAACTAAATGTAATATGGTACCCTGGAACAGAAAAAGAGCATTAGTTTAGAACTAAGGCAAGGTGAATGAAGTATGGACTTTAGTTAATAACAATGTATCAACATTGTTAATTGTAAAAAAAAACATTGTTAATTGTAAAACATACCATACTAATGTAAGATATTAATAATAGGGAAAACTAGGTGAGGGGTATATAGGAACTTTCTACTATGTTCCCAGTTTTTCTAGGTATCTAAAACTGTTTTAAAAAATAAAGTTTAATCTTATCTCATGCCATATACAAAAATTAATTCAAATGTATCAAAGACCTAAAGATAAAAGCTGTAACTATAAAACTCTTAGAAGAAAACCTAAGTGTAAATCTTCATGACTTTGGACTAAGCAATGTTTCTTAGCTAGGACACCAAAAACAAGCAAATAAAGAAAAGAAATAAATAAACTGGACCTCAAATTTACAAGATTTTGTGCTTCACATGATATTACTGAGAAAGTGAAAAGACATCCCACAGAATAGAAAATATTTACAAAATCATATCTGGTAAGTATCTATATCTGGAATATGGAGAGAACATATGAAAGATGTTTGACATCATTAGTCATTAGGGAAATACAAGTCAAAACCACAGTGAGAGACCACTTCACTTTTACCAGGATGGCTATTAAAAATGATAGGGAGTGGTGGTGGTATAATACAAATACTGGTAAGGATGCGGAAAAACTGGAACCCACTAACATTGCTGATGGGGATGTAAAAATGGTGCAGCTGCTGTGGAAACAGCGGCAGTGGCAGTTCCTCAAAAAGTTAGGCACAGTTACTATATGACCCAGGAATTCCACTCCTAGGTTAATACCAAAGAGACTGAAAATTATGTCCACACAAAAACCTGTAGAGGCATGCTCATTGTAGCATTATTTACAATAGCAGAAAAGTGGAAAAAATCCATGTGCCCATCAACTGATGAATGGATAAAGAAAATGTGGTAAACCCATATGATGGAATATTATTTGGCAATAAAAAGGGACAAGGTACTGATACATGCTACGACATGAACCTTGACAACATGTTCAGTGAAAGAAGCCAGACACAAAAAGCCATGTATTATATGATTCTATTGATATGCAATGTTCAGAATAGATAAATCCAGAGTCAAAAAGTAGATGAATGGTTGTCAAGGGCTGGAGGAGGGGACAATGGGGAGTGACTGCTAATGGGTATACAGTTTCTGTTTGGGGTGATGAAAATATTCTGGAATTAGATAGTGATGGCTGTACAATTTTGTGAATTTACTAAAAGCCACTGAATGGTACACTTTAAAAGGGTGAATTTTATGTGTATAAATTATATCTCAGAAAAACATTTAAAATAAACTAAGAGGTTCAATTACCAGACATTAATGTGTTGTTTCTCTTCTTACAGGTCTTTTAAAGACTGATAAATGTCAACTACCCACAGACATGACAGAGTCATTCTGGTTGGTAAAAATGTTTTAACACTCCCTCTCACGTTATTCCAGTTTTCTTTGTTGACTTTATATGCTCGGCATATACTAGGTGTGAACAAATGCTCAAGCCACCAACTGTATGGACCTGAGAGACCTGTAAGAGTACAAAGTAGGGCAGTGAGCCAGTTACACACTGGCATTAACCATGCCAAGAGCACCATTGCATGAGGGAGCACCCCTGACCAAGTGCAATGGCTACACCACAAAGCACATGTGTCTAAGATAAAGAGCTGTATTCTTCATTAATATGCTGAGAGCTGGGAAAACAAAATAATTCTTGGATTATAAAAGTTGCTGGGAATAACTTTAACATCTAGGTAAAACTATACTTACTGTTCTTGAAAGCAGGGCTTCTTAAACCAGTTTCATGGCCTCAAGGAAACCACATACAAAATCATGCTTTGTGCAATGTCCACCATGAGTGTTCATACTTTCAAAAAAGATCTCCAATGGGTCCCAAGAGGTTAAGAAGTAGTGCTTCAAAATGATCATGTCTTTCAAAATGTGGCCCAAGGTCCATCCAGAAATTTAGGGAAAAATGATAGTGATCCTCCTCATGGGGTTTAGAGAGGTAAATCTGTTACCTTCCAGCAATGTCTTAGGTTGCATAAGATGGTATCCCAGCCTGAGACAATCCCCCACTTAAGTGGGGAGGAAAGAAACCACACGCTAAGTTAATATAAAGTCTGCTCTTTTCATAGCTGTTCACAGAATACTTCCTGTGTGCCATAGGCAGATGACTCTTGTCCCTGGCCCCATGGCTCTCTGGTCTCTCAAGTGTTCTTGAACTTGCCATCTCATCAAGAGTCCTTAACAGAGATTATTCCTAGACAGGAACTCCTTTTTTAAAGGAAACCTTCAACTTTGGCTAACGGCAAAAATACTTGCAAAGTACCCATTTTGACCTGGGAGTGCTCCTGCCCTGTAAGTATTTCAGGAGAATAAGATTGCTCTTTTAGAGTCCCAAGACCTCAGTAACTTACTAAATCATGGACAAATTCACTACAAGTATCATTTGGACAAGAGAAAAGTTAGTATCCAAGACCTTACTTTTTGCACTGGTTACTAAATCTGACCAGGCAAGAACAAGCTCCTAATTGCCCACAAGCCGCATACCCAAAGAAGTAATAAAAACATTTTCTTAGTTTTAACACCCTTCCTTAAAGAAAATATGTCAAACCTTCCAAACCAATCTATTTGGGAATTTCTAATACAGATACCCACTTTTAGTGATTGGAATTCACGTAGAAAGTGAATGTGAACATAAGCCCAGAACAACATGGTTAAAATCCGCATCCAGCTTCTTTCTGCAGAAATCCCATGCAGAAGCAGCTAGCTACACTTTCTGAAGTCATTCTGACATTATAGACTTCATA